GCTGTGAGACAGAATCAACTAGACAGCATACAACGACATCAACAAAAACAACCACACACTTTTACAAAAGAGTAAAACATTTGAATAAGCAATATACAGAAAGAACACTGTAACTGGCCAATGAGCATACAGAAAAACTCTCAACCTCATTAGAATCAGGGAAATACCAATTAAACAACAATGAAATACTCATAAGTTTTGTAAAAACCAGACCATATCAAATTTCGATGATGATTTAGGGAATCAGCATGTGATCTCGTGAAATACCCCCCAGAAAGCATTCAAAAGGATATACATTGCAGCCTTGTTGAAAATTGAGATATCTGGAAATGATCTAAATACCTAATAGTAATAGTATGTAGATAACATGAAATATGTCCTTACTATTGAAAATTAGGCAGAAGTTTAAATATTGAATCTGTATGAGTATCTAACATGGATAAATCACTGAGATGTATTTATGAGTTTAAAAATTAATTGCACAAAATAATCATTGTATAACTTGTATGTTGAAACAAAACTGTACAGAATGCTATATAGTTTCTATGAGTACTTGTGTCCTAATAAATGCACTGGAAAAGATGTAGAAGGAAATCTTTACCGCTGGGAAAGAAAGGGAATGAAGACCAAAGGGAATTTTAGTGTTATAAATATGTAGACTTCTCTATTACTGGATTATATTACAATATTACTTTGTAATTAAAGTTAATTAATTAAAAATTCATTAATTTTGATATGGTTTAAGAAGAATACATTATGTGCTGAATGAATTTATACAAAATAAAACAGAAACTACAATCCAGTAGTAATATTCAGTAAACTTTTATGTAACTTGTTCTTTCTTAGTTACCATGTGGTTTCCTCTATTACTTTAGTAAATGTATATATAGATGCTATGCCCTAACCATTATATTCCATGAATTTTCGTTATTTAAATTCCAGGCTCATATAAAATGTAAATATAGCTGGCCAGATACATTTCTGTCCCCCATTCTGCTACAAGGAAGTTTTTGAGATAAAGAAATCAGGAAAAAAAAAATATGTATATGTTTTTATATCTACATTTATATCAATAGCTACATCTATTTTTACACCTTTATCTAGATTTGCTTTTAATATCAACAAGTATATGTCTAGTTATACTTTTGTAATCTTGATAGGATATGAATACATTTCCAAATGATCTCTTAAATTTAACAACTGTTATCATTGAGGATTCAAATTTACAATTTGTTCTTTTTCATCACTCCTTGTTTTGCTGAACACTGTCTTATTATAGTTTTAATGGAAGGAAACAGTAGGTGTGTAAGAGATCAAAGACAATGCTGAATATCAAGTTATGCTACAGAAAATGTTAACTGCTTCTAATATCTAAGTGTTGACTACAAACTGCAGTATATTTAAAGTTTCTGATTGCCTGAAATTGTCATTTCTGTTGCAACAAGTTCATGATGAAAATTTGCAATGGACAGCATCCTGAAAGGGATATTCAGAACACTGAGGCTCACTCTGCCTCACCATTCCCTCTAAAAAACTAAAGAGAAAAAAATCCCCACAACACCTGATTTTCAGGGACATCTTGGTTTACTTAGCCTCATAGAGATGTTTTCTTAGGAAATAAATTAATATTCAACACCTAAAATATAATTGACAGCTATATCCACAATGGAGGCAGGTTTCCATAGTGGGTAAGAACACTTGAGACAGACAAAAGAAGTTTATATTAATGGTCTACTACTTAACTATTGAATAATCTTAGGTAAGTTACATAACTCTCTGAATCTTAGTTTCTTATTTGTAAAATAGTGATAATAATAGTACCTACCACATAGGCTACAACTGTGGAAAAACAATGTAAATATTATCAGTCAGAACAAGGCCAGGGGCCAACTGCAGAGCAGACCATCAATTGTTCATAAGAAAGTAGAAGTTGAAGCTGAAGAAAATTAGAACAAGTCCCCAAGGCCAAAATTTGACCTTGAGTGTAACCCACCTGAATTTGGAGACCATCTTAAAGATAGACTTGACACATTGAACACTAATGACCAAAGACCAGAGGAGTTGTGGGATGACATAAAGGACATCATATAGGAAGAAAGAAAAAGGTCACTAAAAAGACAGAAATGATAGAAAAGACCAAAATGGATGTCAGAAGAGACTCTGAAAGTTGTTCTTGGAAGTACAGTAGCTAAAGGAAAAGGAAGAAATGATGAAGTAAAAAGAACTGCACAGAAAATTTCAAAGGGAAGCTAGAGAAGATAAAACATTAAAATAAAATGTGAAAAGACTTGGAGGTAGAAAACCAAAATGGAAGAACACACCCAGCATTTCTCAAACTAAAAGAACTGAAGAAAAAATTCAAGCCTCCACTTGCAATTTTGAAGGATTCTATGGGCAAAATATTGAATGACGCAGGAAGCATCAAAAGAAGATGAAAGGAATACAGAGTCACTGTACCAAAAAGAATTGGTCAGTGTTTAACCATTTCAGGAGGTGGCATAAGATCAAGAATTCATGGTACTGAAGGAAGAAGTTCAAGATGCACTGAAGGTATTGGTGAAAAACAAGGTTCCAGGAATTGACAGAACACCAATGGAAATGTTTCAACAAACGATGGAGTGTTGGAGGTGCTCACTCGTCTACGCCAATAAATTCACAAGATAACTACCTGACCAACTGACTAGAAGAGATTCATATTTGTTCCCATTCTAAAGAAAGGTGGTCCAACAAAATGTGGAAATTACTGAACAATATCATTAATATCACACCCAATTAAAATTTTGCTGAAGATAATTAAAAAACAGTTGCAGCAGTATAATGACAGGGAATTGCCAGATATTCAAGCCAGATTCAAAAGAGGAGCTGGAATGAAGGATATCACTGATGATGTCATATGGATCTTGACTGAAAGCAAAGAATACCAGAACGATGTTTACCTGTGTTTTATTGACTATGCAAAGTTATTTGACTGTGTGGATCATAACAAATTATGAATAAAATTGGAAAGAATGGAATTCCGGAACAATTAATTGTGCTCTTGTGGAAACTGTACATAGAACAAGAGACATCTGTTGGAACACAACAAGGGGATACTGCCTGGTTTAAAATCAGGAAAGGTATGCATGAGGTTTTTATCTTTTTATCATACTTATTCTATCTGTATGCTGAGCAAATAATCCAAGAAGCTGTACTATATGAAGAAGAATGCAGCATCAGTATTGGAGGAAGACTAATTTACAGTCTATGATAT